GAGGGGGAGAGAGAGAGGGAGGGGGGAGAGAGAGAGAGACAGAGCGAGAGCGAGAGAAGGCATCAGCCCCTATCTCTCCCTCTCCCTCAAATAAATAAACCAGAAACAGATTCAAACTCCTGAAAAGTGCAAAGCCAGTGCAATCTCCTACAGGCACTGGACTCTCCCGTCTGCTACCTTTAAAAAAAAAAAAAAAGATTTATTTATTTGAAAGGCAGAGCTAGAGAGAGGCAGAGGCAGAGAGAGAGAAGGAGAGGTCTTCTATCCGCTGGTTCACTCCCCAGATGGCTGCAGCTGTGCCGATCCGAAGCCAGGAGCCAGGAGCTTCTTCTGGGTCTCCCAGGTGGGTGCAGGGTCCAGGGACTTGGGCCATCCTCCACTGCTTTCCCAGGCCATAGCAGAGAGCTGGATCAGAAGTGGAGCAACCGGGACTCGAACCGGTGCCCATATGGGATGCCGGCACTGCAGGCGGCAGCTTTACTTGCTATGACACAGCGCGGCTCCCGGTCTGCTGACTTTTTAAAAATGTTTATTTTATTTATTTGAAAGGCAGAGAGAGAGAGAGAGAAAAAAAAAAAAAACAACAGATCTCCCGTCTGCAGGTTCAATAAATGCCCACACACCCAGGGCTGGGCCAGGCTGGAGCCAGAAGCCAGAAATTCTATCTGGGTCTCCCCTGTGGGTGATAGGGACTGTGTCCTTGAGCCATCATCTGCTCCCTTCCAGGGTGCTCATTGGAGGGAAGCCGGGACTCGGTGTGGAATGCAGGCACCGCAAGTGGCAGGTTAAACGGCAGCACCACAGCGCCGGCCCCTGCATCCTGCCGACTCCCTTTCCTTCTCCCTGAGCCCTGCAGTGCCTTCCCCGCCCCTGCTCCGCGCTCTGACACCGCAGACTAGAAAGAGCTCCCAGCTTCTTGGAAGTGGGGTCTGCGCTGGTTTTATTGAACAGCTGTCTGTCCGTCCCAGGCGCGCTCACACCAGTGTGGCCGCTCAGACGCCAGAGCCCTGCACACGGCGGCGGCGGCTGCGGGTCCTCTCCTCTGCCCGGAGCGCCCAGCCTGCTCGCAGACAGGCGTCGAGAGAAGCCAGCTCGAGCGGGGCCTCTTTGCACTCATTCAGTCCTCTCCCAGGCCCAAAGCCCAGAGGCAAAAGTTGGGCGTGATACTAGTGAGTGGGGACGTCAGAGTCGGGAGCAGGGGAGGGGGACAGGAAACCCAGTGACAAGCTGAGCCCAGCAGGGACACAGCCGTCTGGGGAGAGACGAGGGGAGGTGACGGACGGTGGCAGGTGGCAGTGCAGTTGGACAACCCAGGTGAGCTTCTGGGTGGGAAGGAGAGTGGGAAAGGAGCAGGTGAGGGCCTGGGTTAGCTGTGCTGGGAAGGAAAACCAGCTCTGGCCAGGCACAATGCTCCCTGCAGTGACTGTGTGTGTGTGTGTGCACGTGTGTACGCATGTCTGTGTACCAGCATGTGTGTCTAAGCACTAGCGTGTGTATATGTGTGAGCATTGTGTGTGCATGAGAATGTGTGTGTGAGCACATGAATGCATGTACATGCACCAGCGTGTGTGCATGATAATGTGTGTTCTGTGTGCACGAACATGTGTGCATGCATGTATGTGCACTAGCATGTGTGCATGTGTGTGTTGGGAGGAGGCCATGTGACTTAGCAGCTGAGTGTCCACAGTGGGGGGCGGAGCTCTGGGACGTCCACGGCAGCTGCCACCCCGGGCGCCTCCACTACCACTGGTCCAGTGTCATTGCTTGAGGGTCACGTATTCCACTTCTTCCTGGGCCTGCGGTCGCACCCCAGTCCCAAACTGAACCAGCTCCGAGTAATGGATCCCCTCGTCTTCTGGAAAATCCGGAGTCACGTTCTCGTAGTCAGCCTAAGAGAGCCACATGGCAGTGAGCCCGGTCTGTGCGTCAGCTCCCGCGCGAGCGTTCACCTCCCCATCTCTCCCTGACTCCGCCCGGGAGTCTTCTTATGTAGACTCCAGCTGCTCGAGGCACCTACCTGCCTGGCCCGACCAACCCTCTGCCCAAACCACAGCCAAGGTTTCGTTCACATTCCCAAACTCCATGAGCTGGAAGCAGAGTCCCAGATTCAGTGTAAACCACCTTTGGAGGTGGAAAGTTTGGGAGCTGACTGGGCCTTGGGGGCTCCCCAGGAATGAATGCATGAGCAGGCTATGGGGTTGGTGGGGGAGGGGCTTGGCCATAAAGCCAAGCCCTCCTAACCCCGCTCCAGCCCGGCAAGAAGGATCTCAGCAGATGTGGCCATCAGCCTCTGACGCCCGTGAGCCTCTCTCCTTTACGAATGATGCAGTCTCGGGTATTCGGGTATTCGGTTACAGTAACAGGAAATGGCCTGAGACATCAGCTCTTGACACCCACGCCCACTCCTGGCCCCCGCTGACATTTGCTTAAGGCCTCAAGGCTGCAGCCAGACCCACCCCTCCACCGCCCCCGCCCTGTCCCCTGTAGCTTACCACTCGGCGCTTCTGCACCACCGAATACGTGACTGTGTCCTCGCTGCTTAGGGGCGGCCTCTGCACCTCTGCTGTCCCTGCGTCTCTGAGAGGGACGGCAGGTGCATGACCAGAGTGAACCATTCCCATGAGCTTTCTCTCCTTCTCTTTCCCCCAGATCCCTGGCAGCACCCCAACCTCCACTCCCCGGTGCCCCCCTGCACCGCCCGAGCCCCCCGGCTTTGCATGCAACAGAGAACCACAGCTTCTGTGACACCGCAGCCAGGAACCAGCGCTGGCCAAAAATAACCAACATGGCCACATCCCTGCCAGGACATTTAGCTCATGATAATCTCCTTATAATAAAATGACCACGGCTGCGCTGATGTAGGGGCTTTCACAAGGGAAGGTTAAGAGGACCCTCCCAGGACAACGCAGGGCACCGTGGCCTAGCCAGCGACTGTGCAGGCTTGAGCAACCATATAGCTACCTGACAGCGACCCTATAGCCTTAAAGCACCCAATCAGAATGCACGTAACCATGTAAGGGAGTCAAAGGAACTAAGGTTGTATGTAAGGCGATTCCAGCTTTGCTCGGGGCTCAGATTTTTTTTTTTTTTTTTTTTTTGACAGGCAGAGTTAGACAGTGAGAGAGAGACAGGGAGAAAGGTCTTCCTTCCACTGGTTCACCCCCCAAGTGGCCGCTATGGCTGGCGCTGTGCCAATCCGAAACCAGGAGCCAGGTGCTTCCTTCTGGTCTCCCATGGGGTGCAGGGCCCAAGCACTTGGGCCATCCTCCACTGCCTTGCCGGGCCACAGCAGAGAGCTGGACAAGAAGAGGAGCAACCGGGACAGAATCCGGTGCCCCGACCGGGACTAGAACCTGGAGTGCCAGCACCGCAGGCAGAGGATTAGCCTAGTGAGCCGCGGCGCCAGCCTAGGCTCAGATTTTTTGGATAGGAGTCCGCTGGGCCCTAAGGCAGCATAAATAGATCCCACTTCCTGCAGAAGCCTCAGTGCCAGGCTTCTCCGTCTGAGGGTCCTGCAGCAGCACCTGAGCCAGGACGCTTTTGAAGATTTCCAAGAAAAGGCAAGGAAGTGGGCAGCACTCAAACTGTACATGAAACCCCGCCCCCTCTATGAATAGTCAATGAGCCCCAGGCCCCACCCTCCCATGCCTCTAGATTATATAAAGGGGAGACCCTGACCCTTCTTAAAGGCAGCGCATTCTTGAGTGCAAACTTTGGCTTTGCATGCAAATAAATCGTGTTTCTCCGCCAACCTTGTCCTCGTCCTTGTGTGGGAGACAAGAATCTGGCCCACCGCCAAGAGGGAAGGTGGGATGCCCCCTTTTCCTCCCCTCCCCACCCCCGGTACCCTCAGTACCCTGTGCTCGGCGTGTCCATCTCGGGGAAGCGCAAGGTGGCGTAGCTAATGCTGTGCTCCATCACCGGGTTGTAGCACCCCAGGGAGTGGGGGCCATTGGAGAGGGGGGCTCTTCTGACCTGGGAGAGAGACAGGGTCTGGGCTCCGACCCTCGTGCCTGCTGCACAGGTCCCGCCCCCTGGGCACGGCACCCCACCTCACTCCCCTTCACTTCACTCCGCCTCACCTGACTTGCAGGCCCGCCCTGCCTGCGGCCTCTCTCTGCCATCCTACCTTTGGATTCCTGACAAAGAAGCTCTGACCGCTGAAATTTTCCTGAAGCCCCTGCTGGCTCCGAATCCTCTTCCAGCTAAGAAACAAGGACACATTCAGTGAGGGGGATCAGGACCCAGTGGTCTCAGCAGGCTGGGGGCTTCGGGATGGAGAACTGGACCAACATCCGCCAAGGGACCACAAAGAAGGTGGGTGGTAGGGGGGGCGCTCACTTTTGTCGGAGTTTGACCACCCAGATGGCCAGGACGAGGAGAGCTAGGCAGGACCCGATTCCCACGGCCGCGCGCCTGCCGATGGTCTCTGGACTATCTGGTGGGGAGAGGGGCAGGCTCAATCATTCAGCGGGCCAGGCTGACTTCCCTCTGCCGCCAGCCTCAGCCGTCCTGCCTGCCGACTTCTCCGTGTGCAAGAGAAGGAAGCAGAGAAAGCAGGAAGCCGGCTCCTGCCCACTGGAGCTCCATGTAGAAGATGGAGGAGCCCTGGGACACACCACACGTAGAGACTGCACACTCATCAGTGGGCGCCACTCTCTGGGGCATGTAGCCGCACCATCGGCATTAGCAGTGCACCTGCCCTTGTAGCCATGTCCACAAAGAGAGGCTGAGCACCTCAGCTCTGGGTAGATGAGATGTGCAGCTCCAAACAGGAGGACCCAGTGTAGCCCTTGGCATGAGAGGTGCGTCTCCGGCTGTCTCCAACGTGGAGACCCGTATGTGTTGGTTTTATGCATCAGTTACATTGCTGGACAACACAGTCAGACAATCCGCTTTGGACTCCAGCTTTGTGGGGAATGAGCTTCTAAATTTAAAGCCACTGGCACTGGCATTGTGGCATAGTGGTTAAGCTGCGGCCTACGACACCGGCATGCCATATGGGTGCTGGTTCAAGTATCAGCTGCTTCAGTTCTGATCCAGTTCCCTGCTAATGTACCTGGGGAAAGCAACAGAAGATGGCCCAAGTGCCTGAGCCCCTGCACCCATGTGGGGGACCCGGAAGAAGCTCCTGGCTCCCAGCTTTGGCCTGGCCCAGCCCTGGCCATTGTAACCATCTGGGGAAGTGAACCAGCGGATGGAAGATCCCTCTCTGTCTCTCCCTCTCTCTCTGTAACTCTGAGACTTTCAAAATAAATAAATAAACCTTTAAAAAAAAAAACAAACACTAAATTCAAAGCCATGACTGCAATCACTCCTCTGCAGAGGTGCAATAAATAAATGATGTGTTTTCTGTTTGTCTCCAGACTCTTTAGACTTCCTGTGCCTGCACGGATACAGCAGTGTCCAAGCGGCGTCATTACTGCAAGGGACAAAGCTCAAGGCAAAACAGGAGCCCTACTGCACTTGCTAAGAGGAACGATGGAAGAGATGAGGGCAGCTCCTGCACACCCCCGCGCACAGAGTGCCTCTGCCCCTGCGCACAGTAGGGTGTGGGGAGGGGCATCCCCTAGGAGTGAGTGGAGCTCTCAGGGATCCAGAGCGACAGGCATCTGTCTTTCCACTTTCTACCCTTACTAAATCTGCTTTTCTTAGTTTTGTTTTTTCTTTCACCATGCACTTGTATTATCCGTTTAAAAAAAAAAAAAACTACTAAAGGGACCGGTGCTGTGGTGCAGGGGGTTAGAGCCCAGGCCTGCATCCCATATGGGCACCAGTTCTAGTCCCGGCTGCTTCTCTTCCGATCCAGCTCTGTGCTGCGGCCTGGGAAAGCAGTAGAAGTTGGCCCATGTCCTTGGGGCCCTGCACCCATGCGGGAGACCTAGAGGAGGCTCCCGCCTTTGGACTGGCACAACTCTGGCCTTTGGGGCCGTTTGGGGAGTGAACCAGTGGATGAAAGACCTTTCTCTATGTCTCTCCCTCTCACTGTAACTCTTTCAAATAAATAAATAAATAAAATCTTAAAAAAGAATCCACACACACACACACACACACACACACCCACTACAAAAGATAAAAGCAAGGAGCCGATCAAGGGAGAGAGAGAGAGAGAGAGAGAGAGAGAGAGAGAGGACCCAGGAGGAGCGTGAGGTGTCTGTGAGGTGGGGGCCGCCTGCGAGGGACCCCAGGGGCAGGAGCAGCCAGGAGAGAAAGAGAGAGGCATGAAGTGTGCCGCGGGACAGCAGTGGCCGCCGAGAGCTCTGGACGAGGCGGTGTGGGCAGGCTGGGCTGGACCACAGGACGGGGGAGGAGGCAGGGGAGCAGCGGCCAGGTGCTCCCAGGGCATGGCCTGGGGTTCCAGTAGCCAGGGCCAGCAGGGAGCCTGGGGGAGGGCAGGGGTCTTACAGTAGACGGTGAGGGTGCTGGGGGGTGACTCGCCCATGCCCAGCCGGTTGCTTCCCCGGCAGCGGTAGGCGCCTGAGTGTTCCACCGTGGTGGGCTCCAGTGTCAGCGTCTTGTCCCAGTGCTGCAGGTTTTGGTTGTTCCAGTCAAACCAAGCGTACTGGGACACGGGAGGGTTGGCGTCGCTCTCACAGGTCAAGGCCACCTTGCTGCCCTCCATCACCGTGTCCCCTGGGACCATGGACACCTGCAGCCTGCGTGGCGCATCTGGAAAGGAAGCGAGGTGAGGACGCAGGCAGCTGGGCACCTGCTGCTCCCCGCCCTAGGCCTCCAGCTCCAGCCACTCACACAGCACTCGCAGCGTCCAGGGCTCTGACGAACGCCGGCCGACAGAGTTGTTGACCGAGCAGCTGTAGTTGCCGGCGTCTTCGGGGGTGATGGAATCGAAGCTCAGCTCTTGCCCTGCCTGCAGAGGGCTCCCGTTTTTCCTCCAAGAGAAGTGCACTCCTGTAGGGCGGCTTCCGGAGAAGTCGCATCGGAGGGTGAAGCGGCTGCCAGCGGGAACCTCGGACTGCACCGACGGCGAGATCTTCACACCTCTGGGGGCATCTGCAGGGCGAGGGCCTCAGGCTGACCCCTCGGCTGCCTCTCCCTCCTGCTGCCCCCTGCAGCCCCCTGCCCACAGCCCGGAGGCTGGGTTCTCCTCTCTCAACTGCGTCATGGACTCTGGCCCAGGCCGTCCCTCCCTTCACTCCCCATATCCTGCATGGGCCACCTGCCAGGGACCCCTGCCCGGTCACTCACACTGGACATCCAGGTTGACCGAAGGAGCCCAGGAGCACCAGGTGTTACAGGCAGCACAGGCGACGGGCTCAGCGTTCCAGGCCACATTGTGAATGTTCAGTACCCCAGGCGATGGCTCCTTCCAGGAACCCAAGGGCTTCCACTCGTAACGGAAAACGCTGGGGTTGCTGGAGTTGTAGATGCAGGAGAGAGTCACGCTGTCTCCTTCGCGGATGGGTGTGGGGTTTTGAATCACTGTGGTCACTTCCTTGGGCGGATCTGGGAGCAAACCAGAGAGGTGGGCAAGGACCGGCCAGCTTGACCACAGCCCCTTTCCTGCCTGCTTCCCTCGCGTCCTCCAGCCCCCGTCTGGCCCCCCGCAGTCATACAGGCCCTGAATGGAGCCCAGGAAGTCTCGTGTGTCCCTTTAGCTATTGTGAGGATCAGAACTCTGCCCTGGGCTCTTTTCCAGGCCATAGTTTGAGGCAGGACCATACAGCAGGTGGGAGCCCAGTGCCACGACCCTGCCGCGGAGAGCTGCATGACCTCAGCTCACTCCTCTGTCACAGGGGGTCCTGAGCTTGTGGAATCGTTGCGAGGAGTGAGGCATGAAGCCAACAGTCAACACCGCCGCTGGCAGCACGCACCCGGCTGCTTAGACACCCGGATGCTGCCCACGTGACGGCTCAGCCGCCAACGACCGAGCCTGCCGAGTCTCTTTGTCCTGTGGTCAACTCAGTGACAAGATTCACTGTGATGGGGTCGGCGCTGTGGCACACTGGGTTAAAACCTTGGCCTGCAGCGCCGGCATCCCACATGGGCACCAGTTTGAGTCCTGGCCGCTCCACTTCTGATCCAGCTCCCTGCTAATGCGCCTGGGAAAGCAGCAGAAGACGGCCCAAGTGCTTGGGCTCCGGCACCCACATGGGAGACCCAGATGGAGTTCTAGGCTCCTGGCTTTGGCCTGGCCCAGACCTGGCTGTTGCAGCCATTTGGGGAGCGAACCAGCAGATGGAAGCCCTCTCTCTCTGTCTTTCGGATAAATAAAATAAATCTTAAAAAAAAAAAATGCACTGTGCAAAAGAGGCCCTGACGCTGCAGACTGATGGGACCTTTGCCCCAGCTCTTCTGGAAGGTTCCAGAACCCCTTCTGGGCTCAGCCTTGACAGAGCTCCTGCCTCTTGCAGTTCATTCATTCAACAAACATCTACTGAGCACCCGCCGTGAGCCAGGCCTTGTTGTTAAGTTCTGGGAGTGTGCAAGTACTTGCAAAACTTGTGAAAAAAAAAATGGAATAAAACTGTGCATGGATTTCCAAAGAAATTTATCTTTGAATCCTACTTTTCCATACCCCGGCTGCTGCTGGCCCCTCCTCGAATCCCTGCACCCCAGCTGCCTTCTCCTGTCCCCCTACTTCCCCTTCTCTCCCTAAAGCCGGAGGCCCTGCGGCTACTCACACTGGACGTCCAGCTCAGCACCCGGGCCAGCCTGCCCCGGCCCCAGGCTGTTCTCTGCCACGCAGGAATACTTCCCAGCGTGCGAGAGGAGGGCGCTTGGGATCTGCAGTTTCTCTTCTGTGCTTCCCAGCAGCTCTCTCTCATTGTGAAACCAGGTGTAATTGGTGGGAGGAGGATTGGCCCGTGAGATACAACTCAACTCTACTGGTCTTCCCTCCCTAGCTGGCAAAGGGCGGATCTGAACCCTGGAAGGTTCCGGTGCATCTGGAAGAAGGGGCAGGGGTGGTGGTGGTGGGGTGAGGAGAGCCCTCTGACCCCTGCAAGCACCGCCCACCTCTCAAGAGCCTGGGCCTTCTCCCCCACCCTGCCCCCAATCCCCCGGCCCCTCCGCCACCCACACCAACCTCCTGCCTGCCCTCGCCCCAGCTCCAAAGAGGCTCACACAACACAGTGAGGGTCACTTCTTCCGACCTTCCTCGGCCCAGCTCATTGGAGGCCTGGCAGCAGTACTTGCCACTCATCTCCTTGGTCACCTTGGGCAGAGCCAGCCTGGGAGCCACACTCAGCGGAACCCCATCCTTGAGCCAGGATATACCCTGGTGTTCTGGGTTGCTGCTGGTGACCTGGCACACCATGCTCACAGATGCCCCCTCCAGGACAGAGGCTCCACTGGGACTGACCTCGATGATCTCCAACTTCGGGACGTCTGCAGGGGGCAGAGGGGCAGTGGGGAAGGGGTCATTCTCCCGGGGCAGGGGGCCTGCAGGTGCACGGTCGCCCTTTTGCACAGGAGAGGGCTGGGCTGTTGGCTCTGGCGACTGTCACAGCCTCCTCACTCGCCTCCCTGCTTCCCCCTTCCCCCTACAGTCTCCGCTGGGGCAGCCAGCAGGCTTCCTGATGCGCCGAACAGGGCTCGCCGCTCCCTGCTGGGACACATCCCAGGGACGCCACACTGGGAATAAAATCTAAAAACCTGGCCCACTGCCCAGTGGTCTCGGGTTCCTCTCCCTCTCTGACCTGGCCCCCAGAAGCAATGGCCAGCCTCTCTGGCCCCCTGGCTCTGTCTTGGGCACCCCATGTCCCCCCCTCAAGGCCTCTGTACTTGCTCTGCCTTCTCCCTAGGATGCATCACCTGCCTTGCTTCCTTCCCCGCTAAGGTCAAGTGTTCACCTTCCTCAGGGAGGTCTCCACCCCTCACCCCCACCCTAACTCTGCTTTCTCGTTTCTAATACATGCGTCACTCCCTGCCCTGACTCTTTGCTAATTGCTTCTTGGGGCAGGCATTGGGCACAGTGAGTGAGACACCCTTCGGGAGAGCCACATCCCATCGTGGAGTACTGAGGGTCGAGTCCTGGCTGTGGCTGATGTCCACCTTGGGAGGTAGCAGACAGTGGTTCAAGTTCTTGGGCCCCTGTCACCCATATGGGAAAATTCCATTGAGTTACTGGCTCCCGGCTTTGACCCAGCCATCGTTGTTGTGGGCATTTGGGGAGTGAACTAGCAGTAGGGAATGCTCTCTCTCCCAAATAAATAAAAATAATTTTATAAAATTTATTTCTTGTTGCTTTCTTTTTTAAGGATTTTTTTTTTATTTGGAAAGCAGAGTTACAGGGAGAGAGAGAAATGGAGAGATAGAGAGAGATCTTCCATCCACTGGTTCACTCTCCAAATGGCTGCAAAGCCAGGAGCCAGGAGCTTCTTCCGGGTCTCCCGTGTGGGTGCAGGGGCCCAAGGACCTGGGCCATCCTCTGCTGCATCCCCAGGAGTATTAGCAGGAAGCTGGATGGGAAGTGGAGCAGCTGGGACTTGAACTGGGGCCTGTATGGGATGTTGGCAGTGGCCCAAGCCATTCTGCCACAGCCCCAGCCCCCATTTCTCATCTCTCCCCCACTGCAGTGCCAGCTCCATGCAGTCAGGAACTTTGTTCATTGCTGTGCGTCTCCCTTCTCTCTCCCTAACTGGCAGCTTTCATGATAAGGCCCGGCCGTACCTGTAGGTTAGCAGTAGATATTTATTGAATGAATGAGTGAATGAATGAATGAGGCACAAAATAATGGTGTGAAAATTCTCCATGAAGTCCCCGAAAATGTGCCTTGGCTTAAGAATGAATCGATTGTCTTCCTCAGTTAGGGCAATGCAGAGGCCCAAGTCAAACTGGTCGCTGAAACACCCAACCCGACAAGGAGGCTACTGGAAAGGGGACCGCAGCTCTGCCCGGGCCAGCCCAGCTGGGTCCTTCCCCAGGGAGCCCGGGGGTCACTCACGCTTCACGTCCAGCTGCACCGTCTTCTCAGAGAGCGCCTGTCTCGCCGTGGAGTTCCAGAGCTGGCAGGAGAGGTTCTGCCCGTGGTGAGTCCACTGCGGCTCAAATGTGAGCCAGCTCTGGGTGAGGACCGACGCGGTGGAGAGGATGGTGGAGGAGGTCACAGTGCCCTCCAGGGACCACCGCAGTTCCATCGGGTCCTCGGGGCAGGAGAAATTCAGCGAGCAGGTCAGAGTGACTTGGTGGGACTCGCGGAGTTCTGGAGGGGGCTGGATGTGAGGTGAAAGGGGCTTTTCTGCAAAAGAGCAGGCACCTGCTGGAGGCGGGGGCCGCTGAGCGCTCCCTGGGGCCTCCCTGGCCAGTCCACCCCCTCTCCCTGGGCCTGCTCTCCCTGCCCTGAATCCCAGAGCTCTCTCTCTGGAAGATGCTCCACTTGTCTCATTCTCACCTCCCAGTGTTTGCTCTCTAAGTCGTTTCTGGGAAGATCCTTCCTCCCGCCACCCTTATGTGCGCTCCATCAGCTTAGCTCATCGTGTTTTTGTTAGCTTTGCTTAATGGCTTCAACATGGGATACCTCCTGGCACAGCCTTCCTGGAGTGGGGTGGGCCTGTGTGCGGCCAGGCTCAGGGCCTCTAAGCTGGACCATGTTGGGTCAGAAGCAACGTGTCTCACCCCCAAACCTGGGGCTGCTTAGAATCACCCACAAAAAAAATCCGTATCTGAGTGTCAAGTCCTTGCTTGGGCCCCTGCCACCCACATGGGAGACTCAGAGGGAGTTCCAGGATCCTGGCCTCAGCCTGGACCAGCCCCAGCTGTGGCAGTCATTTGGGGAGTAAACCAGTGGACAGAAGATTGCTCTCTCTCTCTCTCTCTCTCTCTGCTTTTAAAATAAATAAATAAATAAGTATTTTTTTAAGAATCCATATTTCCACGTTCTCCTGAAAGATCGTAAGGTCTGGCCACCTGCACCCTGGATCCGAGGGCGGGCAGGAGCTAAGGGACAGGCAGGACGCCTGTCACCTCCGCAGGCAGCGTGGCCTGTGCCCCTGCCCAGGCCCGAGGCGTCTCCGCCTCCCCCCTCGCCCCTCCCCCAGGCCTCACCAGACACATTGAGGCTCATCTTCTCCATCCACTTGTCGGTGCCGGACGTCATCCTGAACCCCAGCTGCCCGCTGTCTGTCACAGACACCGGTCGGATGCTCACGGTGCAGTTTCTCCGTTTGTCTCCCAGGAAATGTACCCTTCCCTGGCGAACCTGCAGCTCCTCCGTCTGCGTGTGGTTATACAGGACCGTCCCCCTGTAGCTCTTGGTGACGTTGTCATACTCGGGGTTGTGGTAGAGGGTGAAGTTCCCCAGCTCCGAGTTGAATTTTGGGATGGTGTAGGAGCAGGGGATCCAGACACAGGCTCCTTCCCAGGCGTAGAGGGTTTTTGGGTGCTCAAACCGCCAGTCAGTGGGGTTGCAGGAAGCCACACACACTGTAATTAGCACAGTGATTAGAAAGTGTTATCCAGGGGGACTCGGGGGCTGACAGCTCTCCAAGGAATGAGGAGCCCCTTCTGACGTCAGAGGGAGAGACAGGGACAGACACACACAGCAAGGCCCCAGGGAGAAACATGTGTACGAGGGGACTTCAAAAGGTCCGTGGAAAAATGGAACAAAAAGGTAAGTTTACTTTGGTGAAAAAAAAAAAAGGAAGAAGAAGAAGAAGAAGAAGAAGAAGAAGAGGAGGAGGAGGAGGAGGAGGAGGAGGAGGAGGAGGAGGAAGGGACTAGCGTTGTGGCACAGTAGGCTGGGCCTGTGGCACCGGCAGCTTCTATCCGGAGCACCTGGCTGCACTGCTAGGTCTTTGCTAAGGCGCCTGGAAAAGCAGAGGACGATGGTCCATGTGAAGGACGTGAATGGAGTTCCTGGCTCCTGGTTTTGTCCTGGCCTAGCCCTGGCCAATGCAGCCATTTGCAAAGTGAACCAGCAAATTAAAGATTTTTTTCTCTCTCTCCATCTCTCTCTCTCTCTCTTTCTCTTTCTGTGTGTGTGTGTGTGTGTGTGACTCTCTTTTTAAATAAATAAATTGGGGCCAGTGTTGTGGCATAGCAGGAAAAGCCACTACCTGCAATACTGGCATCACATACGGCCACCGGTTCGTGTCCCGGCTGCTCCACTTCTGATTCAGCACCCTGGGAAAAGCAGTGGAGGATGGCCCAAGTGCTTTGGCCCCTGCACCTGTGTGAGAGACCCAGAAGAAGCTCCTGGCTCCTGGCTTTGGTCTGACCAGCTCCGGCCATTGCAGCCAACTGGGGAATGAACCAGCAGATGATCTCTCTCTCTGAAACTCTGACTTTCAAATAAATAAATAAAGCCTTTAAAAAAAAAAAAAGAAAAAACTAAATCTTTTGGAAATTGAAAACCCATGCCTAGTTTTGTCATAATGCACATTTTCCATGAACTTTTTGAATACCCCCTACTAGGCATGGATTTCACTATCTTTTGTCACCAAACTTATCTTTCAATTGCATTTTCCACGAACTTTCTGCAGTGCCCTGGTGTACATCTGAGCATGTCCACCCACACCCGCCCCGCCCTGTGCAGAATGTACTTACAGAATGAACTTTTATTTTGGTGGAAAGCAATTTTGAAATCTAAACACACATGGAATCTTCAAGACATTCTTGAAAAAGGGGCATTTATGAAAAACTAAAGCATGGGGTTTTTTTTTTTTACACAAAAAAACTTACCTTTTTTATTTTTGAGGTCCCCCCC